TTTTTTGTTTTTTTGCAGTTTGAACACCCCCCTCCCCCCTGGTACTTTTGCAGAATGAACTAAAAACCAGATGTCTTCATTTTGTTATATGTTTCCAGGTAAAATATAACACACAGTTATTCTGCCTTCTGCTACCTTATAGTTTCTAGTAATTTATGTTTTTAAATTACAGAAAATGTGTTAACTGAGTACCTTATGCGTTCAAATTAGTTTTGCCTCATATTCCCAAGAAGCAGACCAGTTTTTTAAAATTCTGGAAATGAGGAAGCTAATATGTCAGTGTTGGAAATCATCTGCCAAAAGTCATACAGAAACAAGGAAAATACATGGTTCTTCAGGCTCGAAGACAAGATCAGCCTTTTTTCCAATAGTACAAGGCAACCTCCAACCTACCCTTATACTGCTGTAGAATAACTCTAGGAACAAAAGTAATATTGCTTGTTAAGCCATAAATCCTTCACTCCACAACACACTAGGCAATGGTAAAGTGCTGAAGCAAATAGCTAACGTTACGTATCTCCGTACCAAATGTACTCAGGAGTTCAAAGGCAAATGCCATGTTGTTGTCTGAAATGCCAAGCTGCATAGCAAATTAAATGAATACATGGTACACATACATTTATGTGAATTCACAGGTAACATTGTCAACAGGTCTATTTTTACCATGCAGTTTTTATTCTGGTGATATCTGAACTGTTTAGACCAGAACCTCAGTAAGTGCACATAACACCACCCAAAGAACCAAAATTTCCCACAAAACAAGGTAAGGTAATAGTGAGTTCAGTAAGGAATTTTAAGTAGCTGAGTTTGGGAGAGGAGACAGGTACACAGCAATTTTGCAAGAGAAAGTGGTGAGGCACCACAATGAACAAAACTATTTTCAAGAAACTTTTCTCAAGATGACGAATTCCCCCAGCGTTCATGCAGGTAAACAATCAACTGTTCTACCCTGGGATCTGCCCCCTCACCCTCCTCTCTAAGGGGTCCATAGGAATAACCACACTGATACCCAGAGCTCTCAATCATTTCAGATATCTTGCACAGTATTCACTTCCCCATGTAATTCCCCTAATCCCACGGGGTACAGCGAGCATTGAACAGGTCTGTTAAAGGGTTGCTGACTTGAGGAAACTGAAGCACCAACCTAGCACGTTCTTTGAGGTTAGCCAGTTACACCGCATCACCTCCTTACTCAGCAGGACTTCTTGTATGCTTTCATAGAAGTTTTGTAACAGGATGCAGTTTGTATTAGGAACTATGCACATGGGAACTAAATGCAAATTCATATACATATAACACATACGTGTAAATTCCCATTTGGACAACTCCTGTCTGTTATCACCCCACAACTCAGCAGCAGTGTTAAGTTATTATTAAATAAACATGCTGAGCAGAGACAACAAAGCCACACATCTACAGACAAGTGGCTAATAGTGGAATTTTGGCATTTTACATAGGTTTCTGTATTGAGGCTTTTCCCCCAAATCTTTATGCTATAGTAACCTGAAATTTCACCCTTTGTGCGGACAAAGAAATTCTGGAATGAAGCCTAGCCAAACTGTTCCAGAGATTTTAGCATAACAGCACTTAAGGACCGTTCCAGTAGATTAGTCTTAAACTACTCCACCATGCTCAGGAAGAAAAGCAGGCATCAGGTAGGATATAGAAATTTTAGGCTTTTATTTTGAATCTTTAAAAGCATGTAAAAATAACTTTGAACATATAAAATCAGTCCCAAATACAGTATTTGGTGTATATAAAATAGTAGTATAGACAATAGGAAGTTAAGACTATATTCACAGCAGGTGCTGGTAGTTACCACCTATTTTTTCAGCCTTGTAGATTATTTAGCTGTTTGCTCTCTTGCGGCCATTTTTAAAGTACCGTGAGATTCCACTGCAGCGAAGACTTATTAAAGGCACTGCTTGCAAACAGCAAGTCCCTCAAGATAAACAAAGGCAGTGTCAATTTTTGCATATTAACCAGACTTATTGTAAGAGTCAAAGTATCAAACTGCACAGCATCATAGAATCGTTTAGGCTGGAAAAGATCCTTCAGACCATAAGAGTCCAACCGTTAAGCTAACGCTGTCAAGTCCACCACTCAACCATGTCCCTAAGCACCACATCTACACAGCATATGTCATCCTCAGACTCTTAATTGCCATGAGGAAAAAATGATCCTGCTACAAATACTCAAAAATAGCAAGAGGAAAAGAAATGAAGACAAAAGCACTTACTACAGAAAGGAGTTAAAAAGGAAGGAAATATGATCAAGTTTTAATGAAAAAAGCATACACATTTCAAAACACTCAATGTGAAATAATGCTGCATAGGATTACTGACTGCTGTCCCACTCTTGGTCAGGCAAGAGGAGCTCTTTAGGAGTTGAGAGCTCTCAAAAGACAACAATTTATTTTATCCAAGGCAGACTGAATTTCTACAGTAGCACTCTTGTGCCTCAGAATGCAAAGAGCGTAACTAGTGCTGGCCAACTCCAGGCCGCGGTACTGCAAGGTTTGAAGCAGGACTTTTCTTAATGATCACATTGAGTGCAGTGAAGGTTACAAGCTTTCTTCTATATGTTTACTGTCAGGCTGTTTAACCAAAAGAAAAATATTACTAATAAAACTTATTTATCTGCTAGCATAGCAAAGTAAGTTTGGCATAGAAAAGCTTTCAGAGGAAAAATTAGAATAAAGTCTTCATAGAGCAAAAATAAGAAATGAAGAATTGGTGGAGAGGAACAAACAGAAAATAGGGATCTTTGTGAAATGTACAAGTTCCACAAAATATTCAGGAATAAAATGTAAAATGAGTATTTTCTGTTATTTACACACACACACAAAAAAGGAACTACTGAACTCTTTGGGCCTTGACTGGGACATATTTCAAAAGTGTTACCAAAAGTTCACATAAAAATAATATAATGTAATATACAAGCTTCTCTATAAAATGCTGCTCTGTAGTAAAACATACTGAACTGCAACAGACTATGTACAAACAGATTTTATTCTATTGCTTCTGTTCCCAAGAATGAACTGCTGGCAAGAACCACCAACTGAAAGCCAGAATGACCTGAATGCCTGTAGACCAAGACTCAAAGCCTATGAAGGATATTACCTCATAACTTACAAGCATTACTTATATGGAACAAAATCCATAATATGTCATAAGAATAACGCTGAAGTTACACAAGTATGCAATTCTATTTTTAAATAAAATGCAAAAAAATAGTTCTATTGGTTTTGTAGCTGTGGTGGCTTAAGGATGAGGCAAGATAAGGTTTATAGACAATATGTTAAGCCATTTAATACAGGACTAAAAGCAAGGACGTTCCAAAAAGGGAAAAGTAAGAGAGACAAAAGGGTTTACTATAGAGACAATTTAAAAAAGAAGGAAATGGGATCAAGTTTGAGTGAAAACAAGCAAATGAGCACATACAGTTGTTAATTCCTTTTCTTCAGACGGGAAATAGAAAACTTGAAAGCCAAAAAGAACATAAAAACAGTGGCTTCTAAATGTAATAATCTCAGGAAGGTAGTTGGTACATGGAGAACACAGTGGATCTTAATAGGAGACTGTATGATTATTTTTTTCAATGAAAGAAAGGCAGCGTGTGAATTATGGCTGAGTAGTATTCTGGACCAACGCGGTGAGACTGCAGAGAGCAGTTTTGTATAGAGTAGGGAGAATTTGTAAGAGTTTATTATGAGAGGATGGGGGTTAAACTGATTTATGGTACATCACCTAACACAGGCACGAAAAAAATCTTGTTTGCCTGAAGGCCTGTGAGCTTTTCCCCCGATCCACTAAGTGCTATCTTCTCTACCTACAACCATGACCATCTCTTTATAATCATGCTGGCAAAAACCAGTAGAAGCTCTCTTTTGTGATCTGCAGAAGGAACACAATTATTTTTCTCCCCAACAAACATTTTTAGAAGGTAACTTCATATCATGTTTACAATTCTGAAAAAAACTACAAAAAAAATATCAAGAAATACTGAAGAGATGGCAGGCAGAGAGGGGATATTTCTAATTCTTTTGGAAGCAACTGCTGAATTGCTATTTTCATACTGGAAAGTGGTGAGGCACACCCAGCAAAATGCTTATTGGGATTTATTGCAGGGGAGAGGCAGGGGAGATGGAAAGTATTTTCTAAAAATTGCTTTTAATATGATCAAATGTAATTTGTATTACTTGGCAGCATAGATTTTTCCATGATGCACATATACAAGAGAAGTATAATATACAGTCTGTGTTAGCCCAGGATACCCTGTTTAAGTTATGACATTTAAATTGTTGGGTTTGGTTTTTTTTTAATGTCTAAAAAAAGAAAAACTCCATACAAATTCAAAATACTACTGCAACTAATAACTTGTTAGGAAAAAACAAGCAGCAAAAGAGAGGAGAACATCATCTTAATACTAGAATACATCATTAAAAACTAAACAATATTTGGCTTACATTTGTATTTTTTGTTCTCTACATCAGGAACTGCTATTTATATTAAGTTCCTTTTAGAAAACAAAGATAAGTATTCAGCAAAAACATCCTGCTAATGAATTCCTGCCTATTACAAAAGAATACTGATGATTCATTAACCAAGCAAC